TTGAACCTGGGAGGCAGAGGTTGCAGTGAGCCAAGATCACGCCACTGGGTGACAGAGCGAGACTCTGTCATGCCAGCCTGGGTGACACAGCGAGACTGTCTCAAAAAAAAAAAAAAAAAGCAATTAATAAGCCCTCATTTGTGGAAAGAGTGACTATGACACATCATCTTGTTTTGGAATGGGGAGCGTTCATTCCTTTTTGGGGGGATTTTTTTGTTTGATTGTTTTGGTTTGTTGTCATAATTGGATTCTGGTGTGATCATTGGAATTGAGAATGAGTTAAGTAACTTTGAAATGATGATGAAAATAATTTAAAAAGGAAACACGAATCAAATAGTAACACCATTAATACCCCCGGGGGAGGGGGGCAGCTATGAGTGTGTCCCTGGACTGAACATGAAACCTCAGAGGCGAGAGCACTGACTCCATTTCTCTGGAGTTTGTGCATCCCAGAAAAAAATACTTTAAAAAAAGAAAGAAAGAAAGAAACCTCAGAGGCTTGCATAAATGTTTAACAAAGTTTGTCCTTGGGCCAAACTTTTCTCCCTGTAATACAGACATCACACAAAAGCAAAGTAGGCTTCCAAAGAACAGTCCTGAAGCTCCCTGAAGAACAAAGAAGCTAATTTCCTCTCTTTTGTCATTACTAAACTTCTTGAAAAGGAATCTGCAATTTACATGCTGCATTTCCACTTTCTCTTTCCATACCTCTGCATGCTCAATTCTGTCCCCACTCCTCTACTTGCACTGCTCTTTAACATAATATTATCAGTAAGTCTCCCTCTCTCCATTCTAACAACACTGAACTGTCTCAGCAACTTATTTCAAAAATTGTCTGCAAAGTAATAAGACTCAATTCCTTTAGGATGTTTGTGTTTCCATGTGTTTATGTTCTTTCTCCCCAAATGGACTGAAGCAAATACAGTTTCTATTATACTCAAATAGCATTGTAAAACTAAAATAACTAAAAATGTCAATGTCTGGTTCCCCAGTACATGTGCTCCAAAAAGAAAATTTCACAGGATGGGGTATTTTAATCATTTTTACACTTTTTGTCAAAGCCATTTGCTTCATACCTTATTAAAGTTTTTTTTTTTTTTTTT